TCAAAATTTGAAAAATAAAACTTTATTACTGTTATTTTCTTGAACACCTTGTTAAGGCAATTAGACGAAGTCACTTCCCCTTGATTACAACCAAGGGAATGCCCTTTTCAATTGGGATTGACATGTTCCTTTTATTTCTTTTCAACCAAATTTTATCAAGTCTCCAAATTTCCATTACATGGTAGAAAAGAAGCATCATACAGAATATAAAAACACCATTTCTTCATTAAAGCTTTTAATTTCGCATTAACTAGTAAATTATTCTATGGAGCTGAGATGTCCTTAAATTAGGGGTACCTTGACCTCCTTTCAATCTTGGCTGTACCTTTGTTTTGGTTGCTTGAATCTCCTTTGCAAACATTAATACAAAACAAAATTATTGGATATTCTGAATAATATTATGCTTGAATATTACATTTACAGTCTAATAATGCATGCATCAACATCCACAAGCTCTGTTCTTGTGTTATTACGTATGAAAATCGCATTGAACATCTAAAAATTAAGTACGTAGTTAATGGCATTGCTTCAATGGTTTCATGCCCATTTGGCCAGGATGGCCATAGAACCAGCTCCAAGAAGGAGTGCAGCATTTGCTCCTAATTGAATCTTCATATTGCCCTGCAACTTTTGGTTCATGAAATCTGCTGCCAACAGATCCACAAGCGACATGTAAATCAAAATGCCCGCAGCAGCTGCATTGAAGACTCCTTGAACTATCAGAGCAGGTTGGCTGGTCTCGTCGTAAACACTTGAAATTGCAATCCCAATTGCAGTCCCCACTGGGGTTGTGAGGGAGAAAAATGTTGCCATGACTGCCACTGATAAATTCTTGAATTTTGCCTGCATCATCAACACAACTAAACTTTCAATGCTGTGTATATAATTTTAGGATTATTGGTTGATTTGGATCAACTTTACTGGAACGGAAGATGTTATCACAACAGCAACATTCTCCACCCCATGTGGTTTGCTCAATTTTCAAACCATAAATACCTATAATGTTAATAAGAGATATCTATTTTCACACAAGTTATGCACATTAAATTTATATAAAATAACAATCATTCATCTTTTTACTTTCAATAATTTAAATTTATCGTGATTTTTTAAATAAAAAAATAATTATATTTGATAAATATAAATAAATCTTATTAAAAATAAAAAAATAAATAATTAAAATTTTATATAAATATAATATATAAAATTTGATGTATAAATAAATCTATCTTTACTCATAAAATTAATAATAACAACAAATATTTGATTTTGTTAGTTCTAAGGTATGACATTTTACACTAAAACAGTAAGCATGTTCATCATCACACATGAACTGTTTACACTAATACAGTAACACGTTCATCATCACATGTGAACGGTTTGAGCACGAGAATTTTCCCAAAGAAGTTTCATATTCAAATATTTGTTAGGTTAAACCCAAAATTATTTTCTTAATTAATGTTCAGATTATAAATTATTATTGTAATGCAATAACCATCATTTTTAAAAAATATGAAATATTTAAAAATTTAAAATTTATATTTTAATAATTTTATTTCTCATCTTTTAATTATACTAATTTAGAAAAAAAAAATATTGTACAAATCTTTAAACTTGACTTCTAAACTAAACATTTTTATTTTGCTGACATGAGAGTTGATAGCGGAATTATATTTATTTCATCACGGCAATGATGTGGGAATGACGTGAACAAATTAGTGGACGAAAAATGATTATGCGGA